ACGCTCATACACAGACACACACACACACACTCATGCTCACACTCACACACACGCTCACGCACACACACATGCACGCACACACTCACACGCTCACGCACACTCACGCTCACACACTCACACTCACGCTCACACACTCACACTCACGCTCACACACACAGACACGCTCACACACGCTCACACACACACGCACACACAGACACACTCACACAGACACACACACGCTCATACACACAGACTCACACTCACGCTCTCACACACACAGACATGCTCACACACACTCACACACACACGCTCTCACACACACGCACGCACACAGACACACTCACGCTCATACACACAGATTCACACTCATGCTCACGCACACGCTCACGCTCACGCTCACACACACGCTCACACACTCACGCTCACACACACTCACGCTCACACACAGAGACACACACGCTCTCACACGCACATGCTCACACGCACATGCTCACACGCACATGCTCACACGCACACGCTCACACACACACGCTCACACACAGACACTCACACACACAGGTGAATCTCATCACACCCGTCAGGATCACATCCATTCTTTTCATAATCTTCCAGCCAAATATGCTAAAGATTTGAATGTCCTAAATTTGAGATGTGATATTTGACAACTTCAATAGTTGTAGTGTGTTTTACAGTGTTTTCAACAGCAAATTGTAGTGTTAAAATAACTGTACATTTTTGTACAAATACAAAAAAAAAATGTAATAAATAAAATAAAAATCTGTCTTTCAGCTAAATATTTTGAATGCAAAAAAATATATATATATTTTTGTTTTTCAATAAAATATAATTGTGACTTTGTGGTGAAACATGAGCTGCATGCACTAGTTGAAAGGAGAGAAGATGAGCATGTGGAGCAGACAAACACACACGGTCAGACGGTCAGTGCAGTGGCTTTGACACACACACACTCTCACACACACACACACACACACACACCTGTATATAGAGGACAGAAGGCAGCCCTTATCACGAGTCCCAGGCTTCTCCTCCAGAGTGAAGCGCTGATTCAACTCATGCATCACACGCTCACACACACATACTCGCCGCATGTGCGTCCCTCATCAGAAGCCTTGAAATGTAAAGGGGAAGAGCGGGGCGCTCCGCATCCTCCGAGGGTCTGTGGAAGGCTCTGGTGTTCATCAGACCTGTGCTTCAGTGCCGTAAACGCTCCGCGTCCCAGCGCCGCCTGGAGCAAACGCCACCGGATGAGCGGGAAACACACTCCAGAAACAAAGCCAGTTCCCCTCGCGTCTGACGGTCAGCCGTGTGGCCAGGGTCAAAGCGCGGTCAGGCCGAAGTTACAGCGGCAGTACATCATCCCACTGGAGTCGTGCCAGCTGTCCGTGATGGGCTCGTACCGCTGCACCGCGCTCAGATACGACGAGCCCGAGTGACCCCCGACCACATAGAGATAGTTATCCACCACAGCAGAGCCCACGCCTGAGAGAAACACACACACAACATCAACACTGAGATCACACACACTCAGATCAAACACTCTCACTCTCTCTCTCTCTCTCTCTCTCTCTCTCTCTCCCTCT